TCCCTTGTAAGTTGATAGCAGCGGCTCCATCATGTCTCTCTCATCAGGTTCTTCATTCCGCTCTAGAATGGCAGCCGTTAGCTGTTCGATTGTGGAATTCTGGTATATAGTGGATAAGGCGAAGTCGGGACGATGTAGAGCGCGCCTTAAAGTTCGTGTAACTTGCAATGCTTGCAACGAATCTAGTCCCCGATCAAAGAAGCTATCCGACTTGTCCAAAGAGGCCCAGCCGGTGATATCCTGGATGGCATCCCGAATCAATGATGAGATCGTGCTAGTGTCAGCCGAGTATATTGTCTCGCTAGCTGTGTCATCTTGTGCTGCCTCGGCGTTCATATAGAGTTTATCGATGTCGCCTTTGTATTGCGCAAGGCTGGCTGCCCGTTGGATTGTGCCCTTCCCGGCACGGATGAAGGGGCGATCCGGGCTCGTGACAAGTATCAACGATTTCTCCACACGCGCATGCGCAGGGGCAGCTCGATTGGCCTCTTCGATACTCGGCCAGACACGCTCGATAAGGGCAGCTTGGTCAGCAGTGGCTAGAGCATTAGGACCTGACCCAGCAGTTGGTTCTATCAACAAAGCGGCCTGGAATCTTTGAGAGCCCACGACAAGGGCACCGCTTAGTTCATGGTTTTTGGCGACGACGCGTTGCTCCATGGATACAGGGTTAGTCTTTTCGCCGTTGAGGAAGACAATAATATCATCAGCACGGGCACGCCAACACCACGCGTCAGAGACTGTCGGGTGAGGAGCGAATAGATCCTTGGTGCGATATTCTTGAAGCTCGTCCTGACCTCTAATAGTAAGCGAGACTTGCGTATCGGCAAGTACATCATTGCGTCGGATGACGAGCTCATAAACGCCAACCGTGATTTCATCAAACACAGCGCCCAGGCCTGGATGAAAGCGAACATAGCGCCAGTCCAGAGGTCCCAGCTCGGGCGGCATCAGCTGCTGCGGGATGCCAACCTCGGATGCTCCCCACTGGCAGCGCAGCGGGATCTTGACGGCAACTATGTCTCCTATTGCCGTGGGTAGATCACCTCCTATATAGAGGATAAGCTCGAGGTACTGCGCGCAGGCATCAAGCAATTCGGGGTTCTGAGCAAGCTCGGCCACCACCGACGGTACAAGAAGCGCGACGTCCGCAGGCGTCTGTTTGAGTGCCTCCAAGAGCCCTTGGGCGGTGACAATTCCTATCGCGGCTGGTGCAATTGATATATTGCCAAACGGTACGGAGCTGAAGAGATACTGGGCCACACCAGCTCCCTGCTTGCGTTAGCTTACACTTCTTCGATCATTTGCTGCCTGTACTTAGCTTACATGGAAAGGTGGCAGCGTCACCATGACACGCTTGCCTTGGACCAAACTATCTACGGACGCGATACCTTCAGGTGCAGGGGCGGCGGAAAGGTTTATGTGCCGCGCAACTGTTCCATGGGTCCATACCAGGGGCTTCGGTAAGCCCGTAGATCCGGATGTATGTCTACAGGGTTATTACAAGTCCGAGCAAAGCTCTTAGGCCTTGTGCCGTGACACTTACATAATAATAAAGGGATTCCCTTGGGCTTCTTCGTATGTCTTGCTATAGATATATGCTGGGTACTCGGTCCCGAGAAGCTGATCAATACTTGGGACTGTGAGTGTGCGTGGTTTGACCGCTTCAATAACAGCCACTGCCGCCGGCGGCACTGGGTCTGTAGTTAACAAAGACTGGCATTCCAACTTGTCAAATAGCGCTTGATGAGCTGCTGGGCTATTACGTGGCGACGTGAGGAACATCTAGGAGGCCGTGAGCTTCCGGACGACGACAGTACAGCAGTAGAGGTATACCACGTAGCCCGTCTTGACTGCGGCTAGTACTAAGGCGCAATATCGCACATCGTTGGGACCAATGTAAGTGAGGACCTGCTCGCCATTGCCTGGCCCGCCAAGTTGGTCGATGATCCACCATGCCAGCCCATTCACGATATTGGCTAGCTGGGCATAGTTAATCTCCCGAAACCCAGCTTGGTACGAAGCCGGGGCGACAGGCCATAGGCCATAGATGTCCTGCGACTTTTCCGAAGCCAGCCTGTCGACGATGTGTGGTAGCAAGTCGCCCTGCCATCGGGCAGTCTTGGAATGCTGTGTTGCCATTGAGCGGCAGTTATTTCAAATATTCAAGTGAGCAAGTTGGAGAGGGAAGCTGGGCTTCAGGGCAGACGTCCACACTTGGAGTAGTGGGCTATGCAGACAGTGATATCAACTGATAGAACTCACTTCACTGCTTTATGAGTGGGAAGAGACGGCGGAATTAACTATTCGAATGGTAACCCCTCTTCTTCTGTGGCCCTCGTTTGCAGCGTTCGCTCCTTATTGGACTTGTTACATCAGTTGGTAGTACTGCCTCGGCTAAGACGTAAGGGATGACCCAACCGCAGGATGAGGATGCCTACACAGAATGAACTCTATGGCCTGGTGATACGTGATACGTTGTCTCGGGGGATTCACAAGAGCCAATGATTATTCATATACCATTTCAATAATGATGCTATACAGCCCCGCGTTTGGAGTTTCCTTTGTTTTCTGAGATAAAAATCATAGACCAAGGGGCAAGAACTTCGCCGTGAAATGCTCCAAGCAGCTGTATCCTATCCAATACAGCTCGCATTGGTATGGCTCAGTCCAGATAACGATCCTGCTATGCATAAAATCACCGGCGTCGGACGATCTGCTCATGCCGAGAACGATGACCTACATGTGATAACAACTAATGTTGGGCCGGATATGCCGGATATGCGCCAGCATCCCGGTTTTCTTGATGCGGTTTATTCATGTCTTGACCGCCCTGATACGGCAGATCAAGAACTGGAATATAGGTTGTGCGGAAAGGGAGCCATGCTGGTGCCGCGATTACGCCCCAGCAAAGGGATCAATCAAGCTATCGGCTCTGACGACGTCTTTATACTCGAAGTCGATTCCCACCCATTCGGCAACTGCTCACGGCCTTCCTCTACTTCCATCGAGAATTTTGAAGACCCCAAAGGCCCCTTATTCCTTAAGGATGTTGACTTGTTTGCTAAGCCCCTGGGCTCCAAAGAGATCCAGATTGACGCTATATCCATGGCATTATCTAAATTATACACAAGTTTTCCAATTGAAGTATATACAGGGTCTGTGATTCTAATCGGTTCCTCAGTCCATGCTTTTGCCCCAGATGCTCGTGTCGCCGCGCTGGGATCGACTGCCTAGTCTAGTCACCCCTACCTGCCTCAGTCCCACGCGACTCCTTTGCCACTTAACATGTTGAAAATAGATGCAGGTTATGAGTATATATATTAACAGTGTAAAGTAAGGTATATATCGTGGGCTGATACGTTGGGGTACAGTATATATAAGCCACAGGATGAGTCGCCAGTCACCCAATATTCCAACATAACAAGTCCTCGATCATGGCAGCAGGAATCCTATCGAAAGTTTTTGTGTAGAAGCTACTGGGTCACGCGTTATTTTCATAGCTGCTGATCCTTCTGGAGGATCGGCCTCAATAGAGCAGTTGGATATTCCTATAAGCGCTGTGCTCGTACTACGCCCATCGTTCAGACATCAGCCTCCTCGTGAGATGCACGCTGCAGAACAGGATGCCATCATTCTGACTACTGAGGACACCATTCCTACTGATATAATAGATTGCTTGAAACCATCTGGTTGTGTGATAGCCATGAGTTCTTTTACCGGTCCCAAGTTGACAGCTGCAACGCTACAATCAAAGCTACCGCCCAATGCTATTCTGTGCCGCTGTGATATCGAGCGTGAGTGATTCTCGGCGTTTTTTTCTCCTCGTTTTAGTCATTTCAAGTGTAAAAGGGCCCAAGATTGGACTATAATCATGTCCTAAGAGCTTCCAATGCCCCAGAAACCTTTACATATCTCGCTCAAGATGGCAATTACTGACCCCGAATTTTGCAGATCTTATCGCGCCCACCCAGACATGAGCTCTAGCCTCGTGGAGCAGGCTTCCCGTATACTCAAATCCATCTCTACTCGCGGTCTGCATATACACTCTTTGGACGTTGAGGATGTGGAAGAGGTTATCCGTCTCTTCAACAATGAAACATGCACCCAAGTCGTCTTAGAGGTGAAGCCAGATTCCATTGTGCCAGTGATGAAGACACAAGAAGTAATAGTAGAGTTCATCGCCAGTGCCATTGTGGGTAAGCTGGTGTAGCTAGTCTCCGTCGATGTCAGTCAAATCAACCATGCCCACGGATTGATCCTGACTATCGGCCTCGATTCTTTAGTCGCGATTCAGCTGCGCAACTAGGCCATGCGCGGATTCACCACGCCAGTGCAAACATCTGAGCTCTTATCTGATCAAACTATTCGTACCATAGCCGAAAAGATAGTGGGCCGGTCAGGAATCGTTCTCGAATGCAGTTCTATCGCCGGCAAAGATGATAGGACAGAATGTAGTTTCAACTGAATAACAAAATGTTAAGTCGAACTGTTACTCATTCCGTCGCTGAGCTTAACAGGCTTGGGTACCATGTCAAATTCAGGCTCTAGGGGGCCCCATGGCGCCCCAGCAACGATAAAGTTAATATTGTATCAGTGTTATATATTGTCCCAGTGTCTTCATAGTCTAGCTGCATAGTCCCAAGTTCTCGTAGCTACGATGGCTTATTAGCTATGAATCATATATACCACGTTAATAAGGCACTGCCGAAGTCCTCTCGTCTTTAACAATCATAAATTCGTAAGACCGTCGCCAATATCCTGTCTTTTATTTTGAATGTGAGCGATAACGCACAGGCTCGATGCCCCTAGGGCGGATCTATATGACTAAAACAGCTGTGACACAGTATTATTTATCCTATCTTTTATATTTGTTGGCAGGGGAATTAGCAGTACTCCCAAACATTTTCGGAGTCCTATTTCTTCAACCTATCCACCTATCCCAAACGAACTCTTGTTGGATGATTATATTCTCCGTTGTAATCGACAAACTAAACATCGCCCTCTTGGCTAAGTGGTATAGCGTGTCACTAGTAGTTCCTCTGGATATTTCTACGTGCCATGACAAGATCAGTGGTTCGATTCCGCTAGTGGGCAACTGAGCTTGATTCAAGGTTATCAAGTTCAAAGTGGTATAAAGGTGATAATTGGACGCTCTCAGTCTTTCGTGGAAAGGCGCTGTCAGGTTCGGAGTTCGATCTCCCGATTCGGAGTGTTTGATGCTCAAGTTCTTTTTCTTTTTTCGTTTTTTCTTCTTTGAAAAGGTAAGATATTACGTTGAAGCCTATAGAGCAGCAGCCTTTGCCAGTGCAGTAACGCAAGGACGTGATGGTCCCTAAATTCCGAATAAGAATTCATCCATCTTTATACTAGTCTGCGGAGAGCCACGAGCGTGAGATACGGGAGATATTACTCATGCTGGTGTCACCAATCAACCTGCATTCTTCGTAGGCGTATTTGGGTCACTGTCCCGAAAGAATGTGAATATCGATTTCGCTTAGTTGTCCTATAAAAATATCGTGGCAGTAAGTCATTGTTAACGGTTATCTAAGCAAGGGTATATCAGCCACTGTCTTGGTCTGCGCTGCTATGTTTTCGCTTCGAACATAATGAAATGTTAGTCTTTGACACGAAGCCATCAATACACATATTACGGACATATTGTGCTTTAAATCATGATTGAACAGTAGCACAAAGACGTAAGGAAGTGGAAACTGAACAGATTAATATAACGACCGATGCAAATGACAGGCTATATGCCTATCAACGGGTGTTTTTTACCTTTTAGGCGGCTGTAGTGAATGACTTAACAGAGAGGTCGTGGCTCCGAATCTGAACTACAGTCTTGATTCACTTACATCTCAGAATGAATGAATGGATCTGAGCAAATGCGGAGACTACAGAAGGAGGCCGGTATGACTGACTGACCGGCCGTTTGTTTGCATATCGACTTTCGACCAACAATTAACATGCTACACCTTTTCACTAAAGCGGTCGTGTTAGCATTTGCCAGCCTCGCTTTTGTCACGAAGGCCCGACCAGAAGTTTTCGCCAACACTGCCCGTGACACCACGCCGAATAGATGGCATCAAACGTGGGTAGATACCGGAAAGACTGACTTCTTGGTACGTATATTGTAACAAGTATATTCAAATTCTCGGTCTCCAGTTGACCGCAGGTCATAACCATAACAGTGTGGCGGCTCGTTTGCTAAGTTTATGGCGCCCCCTGGCAAACCTGTGCCAGCCAAACTTCCCGACTGCAACGCGACGATCAACGACTTGCTGTTCGGCAAGGACAATAAGGGGTATTGGGCCATGGATCAGTATATTGACACTAGCGACAGGGGTCCGTTTTATTCGTACAAAATCTACGGCTATGGAACTTGCCGGGTCTGGGCGCTGTCGATCGTTGATCAGGAAATCCAGTGAGCGAAAATACTCTTTTGCCCTATTCCCTATCCTCTTCATATGCTCCTAATTGCTCGCGGCAGATGCTAACCTGAGATTCCTTCTTCGCCGCAACGCAGCATCGGAAGCCGAGACGTTTTAGCCCTGACTCAAAAGCAGTGGCTGATTTCACCACTAATGACCAGTTGGCCGATCCAGCGGGCATCTACTGTCGAGATGTAGTGTCTATTGGGGTGCTGAGAACGTGGATGGTGCCTGAGGACAAGGCCCAGGCCTTGGAAACACCGAGGCGCTAAACGTTGAGTGAGAAATTGTCAACAATCGAGGGTGGCATTGCGAGATTCTAGTATCAGGTTACCTAGGCGTAATGGATTAGATGTTACCTGTAATATGAATTATATGGCGTTGCTAACACGTCACACGTTCCCTGGGTGGTCTTCTCAACTCGCGGGCCCCTCTGCCAGATAGGTATGGAGTTGTAACCGTTATGGGAGTCCCAGAGCCACGGCTCATACACGGCTTTTGGAGGTAAGTAACCGTTGATAACGCTTTGTCGGTAACGGCACGAAAACTTGGGCAATAACCGTTGTGTCTCCAAAAACTGACCCCAAAAAGCCTATGTGGCGCATCTAGTAAGGGTTGCCCTCGGTCGCGGGAGTGACTTTGGAGACTTCATCAGCTGCATCTTGTGCTGATGTCTAACACCAAGTTAGGATGTCACATATATGCTAACTACTCGAGGGTGCTCTAATTTGGCTTAAAACATTGTTGGCGCAACTATGTCGCTAATGCCATCTTGGTTGCTGTATTCAGAAAGGTTCTCTTCATCACCAATCTCTCACAAGATGACTGTCTCGTGTAAACCCGTATTGAGTATCCTCTTATCTACTCTTGTAGGATCAATGTCGGGTGATGTTAAGAGGGTGTTTTGGGCTCTTTGTCTAAGTGGACTGCTTACACATAGACTTGAATCTGTTCATAGGCCAGCTATTTGACATAATGTTCGTTTGAATCTGGTCCTTTTAGTTGTGTTTCAAAAGAGTTGGCAACTCATCCAGGGGTGTGTTGTTTTCATCACTGCCATCCTCTTATCATTGCGAGGTATTGTAGAAAGCTCTTCGGCCCTGGACCCTGGCGGGTCCTGGCCGGAATAATCGGAACAACCCAGCTCCAAAGTGTGTACGCCTTTGCGAATCCTTAAGTACTGTATAAGTTTATACAGCACTAAGCATAAATAAATTATAACAAAAATCTTAAAAAATAAAAAATAAAAAAGTTTATTTACTCTTAAATATACATAATTCTTTTCATAAATTTCAAACTGTGCTGTCTGTTGTTGAAAACCAAGTATAAACGACTCGCTATTGAGGTGTTCCGATTATTCTGGCCAGGGCCTGCCTGGTTGGCCCTTGCATGAGGAACTTAGAATCTGGGAAACGCGCCGCGCCGCGCTTCCATTTCCTCACTTATTAGTGGACGCGAAGCCTAAGGCAACTTTAGCGGTACACTAGACTAGCGTACCCGCCCCACATAGAGCATTACCTAACAAAGTGAGAACGACTAGTGTAAAAAGAACTAGTCGTCATTACCTTTATCAAGAAAATGTTATTTTGCACGCGCATAGGAATTAACAATATCAAGCTGTTTTGCTCCGTGTGGCGGTCACTTACATTCTCCAACTGGGTAATGTCGCACACAAGCCACTCTTAACTTGTCTAGGCATGCCGGGCAGGGGCGTTCTGGACGTGTATACGTATGCACCGCCACGCCGCCACACCGCCACTTACTTGGCATTATACCCCGGGACCCAGGACCCTGACTGTCAATCTCCCGGTCTAGCCCGCAATAATTATCATCAGTTACCATGATTGGTTGCCAATCCGGCCTACGACTCTGCTTCTGCCCTGTTTTCAGCGCATACTAGCCCCGTTTAAGGCAAACCGTACGATCTGACCTTAGCCACACTGAGTTAAGCCACCGAGGTCCCTTGGTCCTCTCTGGTCCCTTAAAACAAGATATAATTAAATGAATGCGTGTTTTCCTCGGAGTACGGCTACATGGGGCTGGCTGGCTGAAATGTAGCATAGTAAAGCATTTGTTGCTTTTTTCTCTCTTCTGTTTTATCTACTTTGATTGGTGTTGGCTTCTTGACGCTTGTCCCTTTCTCTATATATCCCCCTGCTTGTCCTATATTTTATATTATTCGGTGCTGTTTTCTAGAAGGCAGTTCCAAGCTAGCGAGTCTTGATGGCTACCCAAATGGAAGACAATGTTGCGCCAGGCGACAGCGCTGCCACAGTCGAGGAAATCAAGCCTTACAGGATACATGTGAGTACCTTGCGTGGCCCTCCATAATACCTAGACCAACATCTGTGTGGCTAATACTTCCTAGGTTTCCTCTCGATATCTCAATCTCACGAAGCAGAAGCTTGAGATCACACGATTACCTCATGAACTCGATGAGCCCAAGTCCAAAGATTGGTGGCAGCCAAAGTCTGAGGTTGAGCCGCTTATTGACTTCTGGTGAGTTACACACATCTCTTCTTCCCTATAAAGGCATTCGAGTCTCATCATCTTCTGACCGAAAGACGAAATCATTGCCAAACTACATAGGTATAGACTAACCTCGTGGGAAGGCTCGAGCAATATCAATGGCGGGACCAGGAAGAAATTTTGAATAACATTCCGCAGTTCCGTACAGGCTTCACTGTTCCTCACTCTGAATCACCTATAAGAATTCAATTCGTTCACGTTCGCTCATTACATGCCAACGCGATACCTCTTTTATTAATTCCTCCATTTCCCTTCCCAAGCCTTTCCATAGGACATTTAGTCAAGCTATTTACGGACCCAGAAGATGTGGAGAATCACCAACCTTTCCACCTCGTTATCCCTTCATTACCGGGCCTGGGCTTCAGCGACGCACTTCCGACGAACACTGCTGTCATATCTTCTACAGCAGACCTACTCGACTCGTTAATGAAACGCCTGAGCTACTCTTTTTACCTAGTGACGAATGCGGGCGCAGGGACCGCTTCACCGGCGCATATCGACTATAGACTTGCTGAATGGTTATCAACGCAATACTCAGACTCATGTCTCGGAACTCATCTTATCTCGCCGCCATTGACACAACCGAAACTTCAAGAGGCGCCTCTCGAATGGGCGAAGTGGTCTATTGCTAGTTTCTTCAAAGCTTCAATCTTGGGATACCGCACCGAGGATTTTTCTGCCCTCAGGCACAGTGGCTATGTTGCACCACCTAAGAAGCCGACATCTCCCGTGCAATTTGGGCTTGACCAACTAGGACTTGCCGAGCCTAACACATTTGCCTACGCTCTTTGTGATTCTCCGACAGGCCTCCTGGTCTGGGTAATGAAGGGCCTCCGCCTACTCGCGCCTCAGAGAGAGTTCACACCCACGGATATCATTAATTTCACACAAGTTGCGTGGCTTCCTGGGCCGGAAGCTGCCATGCGCTTCTGGGCCTATAGTTTGCGGCATCCGGAGAAGACCAACAAGAAAGCCGGTACAAGGCCGCGCGTCGGGTTGACGGTATTCCTCGGCAACGAACAAGAAGCGCCGCAGAACAACAATAGTAGCGGAAATGCAGAGAGAAGTACCAGGCCAATCGACGGAGGGAAATCGCCGTACTCTTGCCCTAGCTGGGCTAGGACAAGGTATAAC